TGGCCCGGGAGCGCCGCGAGCGGCCCGGTTCCCGCCAGCGCTTCTCCCGCTACACCTCCTCGCAAGCAGAGGGAGCCCTTTCTGGCCTCCACCAGCCCAGAGAGGGGCTCCCACAGTGAAGCGGCGGGCTGAAGGGCTTCTCAAGCGCGGCCAAAGTGGGCGCCAAGGCTGAGGAGGCGCCGACAGCGAGTGAGGGCTGCGAGGGCTGCCAGCACGCTCTTACCTCTCACTGCGACCCAATTATGTGATACTGGAGCCCAGAGATAGTACAGTACCTCATACCATGCGGCCCTGGGTGGACAGCAGGAGTCCCTCGCAGGTGGAGGGAGGCTGGGGCTGCCTGTCCCTGTGCCCTGAAGCTCGCCAGCGGTTGTGGAAACTGGGGGACGTTGAGGGAACGGTACGCCCAGGTCCTCAGCCTCAGTGTGGAACCTGGCGATCCCAGGGCCTGGGCTGGCTCCCCGCGTCGTAGGACCGGAAAGGCGCGGCGGCGCTGCGGGGAATTGCAGGGAAGAAGGCGGGCTCTGGTGGAGGTGGCTCATCCCCGCACGGTCACTGCCCTCGCCCGCTGTTAGGCTGCGCGGCAGGGAGACTGAAGGCCTCAAGTTGGGCTGGGTAGCGGCACGTGGGCGGGGAAAGGGGTAGTAGATTACTGGTCTTCAGGGGCGGGGCTGGAGATGCAACCCTGGGGAAGGAGTCTATCAAGGCTGGGCTCTTGGGGGGCGGTGGAGGGCTCCGGGGGCCAGGTCAGGCCAGAATCATGGAGCTCAAAGGACTGGAGTGAGGTTTGGGGTCCGTGAGGGTGGAGCTCCGAGGATGGGACTGTGGGTCCACGATTTCTGACCTGGGGCTGGAAAATTCGAGGCTAGTGGAGACCAGGCCTGGTATCCTAGAGGAAAGGGCCCTGTAGGAAGGGGGTCTCGTGGGCGGGATCGGGAGCCAGATAATTGTGAGAGGCGGGGCTGGGATGGCGAAGGCGAGAGGAAAGGGGTAGCCACCGGCGCGGAGATCTCAATGCGGGGCGTGGTGCGGAAGGGAACTGGAGCGAGGGGGCGGGGCTACGAGGAGGTGGACTTGGGGGGCTGGGTCTGGGGCTGGAGGATTGTGGGGAGCTGCGCCTATACACCCGGGACGGTGGGGTTGCGTCGGGGAAGTGAGAGTGTTGGGGGTTAGCCGGGCAGCCTGGAGAACAGGCGGTCGTGGTGCGCGCGGGGCCGAAAAGATCGAGGACAGTGGGGACCCGGCCTGAGGAGGGGTCGGGAAGGAGGAGTTGGGGCGCGCGGACGCAGGTC